TAAACGAAAACGAAATAAGCAAATCCCCAAAATGCATTATAAATTCTTACATACATACATAAATACATACCGGTATGTACTCAGTATGAACATATATATACTTAAACCTGTCACCATGTATATACTTCAACCTATGATCAAGTTGATACATGTCTAAAATCTCCCAAGATCAGGAACAGTAAAGTGCTCATCATCATCCTCTGCCATTGCAATTCTTGGCTTCTTGTATGGATTGTTCGATTTGGGGGGTCTATATGAGGTAAAATTGGGTTGCTGTGATACCGGAAGCTGAGGAACTTCAGCAGCTGCCAAGGCTTCCTCTGGAAACTGCTCACCGAAAAGACCCATATCTGCTATCCATTCAAGCTCTCCAAACTCAAGCAACCCTTTCTGAAATGACCACACACAAGAGCTTCTTAATCTCAAGGACATGAATAGATGAAACAAAATGCAAATCTCATATATCTTAGGAGAAAGAATCATCTTAACTGAGCTTCTTTTGTTGAAAGCTTTGCAAGATTGTTTTATTTTGACAGTCTTAAAAACTCTGAAGTTTTCTTTCATTTATGTAATAATATTTGTGATGAGTAAAGCTACATAACTTCCAATATATATATGTATGTATATGTATTCCGGTAACTTCCTAACCTTGTCAGAAGATTCAAAATCTGATAATTGCAGCAAGTCATCAACCCCCCAAGGGGATGAGAAGCCAGAAGGCTGAGGTGTTGGCAATTTTGTTGAAATCTGCTGTGAGCCATGACCGGGTGGCTCCAAGCTACTTGTTTCAGTGTCCTTAGTACAACTGGAGCTCAATGCCACCCGGATTCCGGTAGCGAGGAACCTCTGGTGGTTTGCAGAGAGGCTATTGGCCGAATGAACTGATCCGTCACAATCCTGGCAAAAGAGGGCTCTGTCTTCAACACAGAATATAAAAGCTGCCTTATCCTGCAAATCAGAAAATAATATGTGAGAGAGAGATTGAACAACAGATTCTTTTTTATATACAAGCGAAGCGATAGTCTAAATTACTCTTAAATTAATTTACTTTACAAGGAGGGGGCTCGAACTTGAGTGCCTTGACCAACTAGCCTAACTCACGTCTCTGATTGAACTAGCCTAACTCACATCTCCGATTGAGCAACATATTGAACGGGAAAGCTTGTTTATCTTAGCAATTTCAGGTAAACTAACAAGTCCAACAGAAAAAAGGAAAATCAAAATCACAATACAAAGTAAGTGGGGAGTGAAATTACTTGGCAAATGTCACATCTAGGGAGTTTGTTCAACTTGGAGAGACACTGAAGGTGAAGCCTCTGGTGCTTGCTTGCAAGCTTGTTTGCTGCATGCACTTCAACGTCACATTTGGCGCACAGCGCCGCCTCATCTGCGCAACAAATCACCGTCGCCGGAGCCTTCTCGCACACATCACACTGAATTTTCATCTTCCTTTTCTCTCCAAAAGCTCCTCCTTCAACAATCAAAGCTTTCCAAGAAAGCACAAACAAACAGCTTAGTTTTCGAAAAACCTCTTAAACCCTTACACCAACAACTATTGGAGTGATGACTGTTTGTTTGTATGATTTTGGATTGATTCTGGGAAGATAGAGAGAAGGCCAAGTCAAGTAACTGGTGGAGAATCGCAGAAGCTGTGTTTTGCGGGGCCCACCAGCTTGTGTTTTGTGGCTGTAGAGCCACTGGATTGTCTGCGCTGCGTGCACGGCTAGCATCCCTGCATGTGTCTGTGGCTACCGACAATTCTTGCCTGCTGCTTGCTTGCTGTCTCTTTCACTAACATCAATCTGGACCGTTTGATTGATCATGCGTGTGATATTGTATCGTATATAACATTCCCCAGCCCTAGTTACTTGACATTCTCATCGCTCCAACCTATTAACCAGACCTGAGGAGACAGCCCAACTCATTAATCATACCAAACTTTTAGTAGGTCAAAATTTATACCGTTAACCGGTATTTTGTGCCTCAAACCGTTCAGTACGGAACTTTTCCCCGCCTTTTTTAATTTTTGGGTTTTCTTTACAGGGGGAATAAATGTCAGTTTTGGTTCTTTATGAATTAAATCATGCCCAACATTGAGCTTGACAACTAACCGTATGTTCCAAGTATCACGTGGATGCATTTCCAATGAAATTGGCTCGTTGTCACGAAAAAACTTAATTTATAACGTATTTATCAAAATGAACTTACTCAGGGACATTGATCGAATGAGGGAGGGTGACGAGTGTCTCAGATTAAGGGTGTGAGATAATTTGTTGACGTGAATACTCACTACTGATTTAGTATTTAAGTTCAATGCATTAAAATTGATGAACTAGGCATAAAGACAATGAGAAAACAATGTCTAGTCAAAACATCACAATTACCTAACCTTAGAGCATCTCCCTTGGAGACGACAAAATTCAAACATGAAATTTAAATTTGATGGCTTATGGGGCACTTCAACATCCTGTAAATATATGTACTTCAATAGATATTTTAAAATAGGTGAATTATTATTTTATCACCTGAAACGGACTCTGGATCTCACTCTACCTACTAAAACTGAAATTTTCTCACTTAACTCCCAAAATCTCAAAACAAATTGCTAAAATTTTCTCACTTTATCACTTATGTCCATTTTCATCCACAAAATTGTAAGTGTTGTGATGTGATATGGGCATTTTAGTAATTTTATCTCCTATATCTTATCTCTTCTCTCTTTGCCCCTCTCTCTCCCAACCTCCATTGCACCCCATCCCTTTCTCTCTCTTTCTCTCTCTTCTTAACAACATTTCCAAAATAAAATCGGATTAAATAATAGTCAGTTCATCTTGTACATTTACAAGGAAATTTTTTCTGCATAAACAATCTTTGAGAATTGCGTAGCACGTGTGATTAAAAAAAAATCACCTATTGCACATGTGTGAGAGGGGCATTAAAATTCAAGTCAATTAATAATAAGCTATGGTTGCGAAAATATGAAGCATGTGATGTGACCTTTGGAAAAAGATAAACAAAAACGCCACCTGTGTGTTGCTTGCTCTCTATTGCATCAACAATTATGGTTTCCCAACACGTAGCAATTGAAAGAATCATCCAACGCCACGCACTCTCTCTGGATCCGAACACGCCGATCTCACACTAATAACAAAACCAAAAATCACATCCATTAATTAACCCCATAATAACCCTGCTTAATGCTTAATGCTTAATGCTTAGCTTAACTCCATAATCTTAATCCTCTACGACAACCCCACTTATCCTCCGAAACATGTCGTCCTTCGACTCCTTCCCCAACGACGACGGAACCCACCACGACCCCACCACCCGCCCCTTCGACGACGATGGCTACATGGGCTACGACCCCCGCCTCTCCTCCCAGCGCTACGACGCGTCGTTCAACCCTCCCACCCACGACGACGACGACGACTTCTCCTCGTCCGCCGTCGACCCGGCGCCCCCTCCCCTCCACACTGATTTCCAAGACGACGTCGTTCTCCCCGGCGGCGGAGGCCACAACAGCAGCCATAGCATTGACCAGCAGTCGCCCGAAATCTACGGCTTCGGCATTTCCACCCCTAACCCCGACTACGTGTCGCCGTTTGATTCGGCGGTGCCCGAGGACAACGACGTAGGCGGTGTGGGCGGTGGTGGCGGCGGCGGCGACGACGATGGGGACATTTTCGCCTCGAGTGAGCCGGTGCTGCCTCCACCAGAGGAGATGCGAGAGGAAGGCTTTGCTCGGCGCGAGTGGCGTCGGTGAGCTTAGATCTCTCTTCGATTTATGTGGTGTGGATTTTTGTTGGTTGGAAATCATATTATTAATTAAATGTGGCAATTTTGAATGGCATTGTTTGAATCAATTTGAGTTAAAAAGCTGTTTATGATGTTGTGCATGCATGGTCTTTTTTAGGCTTAATTGCATCTGCCTTAATTTGATTTGTGTATTTGTGTAACTGTGTTCATTGCCATTTCTTTTAAGCTTGAGGTCTGAAATTAGTAATTGGTAATTCTTATTTGGATGAAATAATGATTGGTTTGCTTGCATGATCTTAAATTAATCTTGGAAAGAAAGGAGCGTTTAAAAACCATCTAGTGTTTTTCTTTTCTTTTCCATTGTTCTCATCTGCCCTGATGAAGGCGTCCGTTTCTACAGTCTAAATGTCATCCATCTGGAAGAAAAGGAACAAAGAGAAAGGGAGATGCGGAACCAGATTATTGAGGAAGCTGAGGAATTTAAACGGGCTTTTTATGAGAAACGGAAGCTCAATTGTGAAACTAACAAGGCTCACAACAGAGAAAGGGAGAAGGTATTAGTACTAAATCTCATCATTTTCCATGTTTTCCCTGATCCTGATTCTCTCTCTCTCTCTCTCTCTCTCTCCCTTGCTACCTTTCCTCATATCTAAGACAAATGATTTGACTGTCTGTGCAGCTTTACCTGGTCAACCAAGAGAAGTTCCACAAAGAAGCTGACAAACATTATTGGAAAGCAATAGCGGAGCTGATTCCTCGTGAGGTCCCTAATATTGAGAAGAAGAGAGGGAAGAAAGATCCTGATAAGAATCCTTCAGTGCTGATCATCCATGGTCCAAAACCTGGGAAACCAACCGATCTTTCAAGGATGCGGCAAATTTTCATTAAGCTGAAACAGAACCCTCCACCACACATGATACCTCCTCCCCCACCTGCCAAAGATGGTAAGGATTCCAAGGAAGTGAAGGATGCAAAGGATTCCAAGGAAGGAAAGGATGCAAAGGATGCCAAGGAAGGAAAGGATGCAAAAGATGCAAAGGAAGGAAACGATGCCAAGGGAGGAGAGGATGCAAATGATTCCAAGGATTCCAAGGAAGGGAAGGATGCCAAGAATGGAAAAACTATTTCGCCCATTGCAGCCGGTGCTGCAGCTGCAAGCGCACCTGTTTCACCTGCCAAAGATGTTACCGCTAATACCACTCCCAACTCATCAAAAGCAGAGACTCCGGCTGAACACGAGGGTGAGCAACCTGCAGAAACCAGGCCAACCCCTGCAGAGTGATGACCCATCATATTTTTCATTATTTTAGTTTATTCATTCTTCTTCTTACAAATCATTACGAAGAATAAGCACAATCTTTATCGATGATCCAGAGTCTGCAGCATGGAGTGTATAGACTGCAGAGGTTTCTTCCTGACTTGGTGTTTAGGGTTTTGTAGGCTAGCTACTTTGTTGCGTTCGGTGTTTGGCATTCATGTTTTTTAGCTTTTTGAGTTACGTTCGTCCTTTGATCCAATACCCATTGTTATTAAGTCATAAGGAAATACAAAATAAACTCCTTCATCAAGACATTGAGAAAAATAAAATTCAGAAAAAAGAAAAAAAGAAAGGAAAACTGTTGGTAAACAGACACGTGATACCAAACTTCTTTGACTGGGTGATTAGTTTACAAACTATATCACACTCACGCACACTCAAAGACAATAATAAAAGAAAGCGTGCTGGGAGAATGATTGTTATTCTCTCTATAATTCCTTATCATACTCTTTTTTTTAAAAACAACACACTGACAACTCTCTTTATAGAGTTTACAAACAGACATTGTGGTCCAGCAAGACCCACACAATCATTAAATTAAAAACACTATAGAAAGCAACCAAAATAGAATACGAAAAAGGGCTGCTCACTATCATTGTGCCAAAAGCACTTTGGTTTATTTACTCTGACACTATCACAGTGCATGGGCACTTGATTTGTTTATTCCAACAAAAACAACATCAGCAGATTTACTTGTAGTAGGAGAGAACAGTATAAATTGTCTGTGTGATGGTAAGAATGAGAATAACGACGACCCCACTGGAAACAGACCAGATTGATGATGGATTGTATAAATAATCTCGTTTGATCATTGTGAGCCAACTCCTTAGCCAGCGACGCTTACAATACATTTCCACAGAACAGGTGAGGTCACCGAAGTAGAGCAAGTCGTCTTCAATTTCAATGTCCTTGCAAACCCTAGTGAAGAAACAGGCCATGTCCTCCTTGCTCAACTGCGTTTCTATAATTCCTTTCGCCATCATAAATTCGGCATCTTTGGTAGACTTAATAAGGCAACTGAACAACTTTGCATAAGAGGTAACGTAATAATTTGTGTGCTTTAGGGCACACAGTTCATAGGCTATGAGGTTTCTTACGAAACGTTCTCCATTCTCTCCAATACACAGTGGAGGGATTCTCATCAACCCAGTTTCGAAGGTAATGCCAAGCAGATGATCAGTTTGCGTGGATTCTCTACGTTCAACATCCACTCCGATTTCAGTTTGCGTGGATTCTCTACGTTCAAAATTCACTCCGATTTCCAGAAGCTCTGTCACTGAGGGAATCGGGTGATAAAAATTACGACGATTACGAGGATCCACCGGTCCAAGGGCAGCACCTCTTGCGATGTCGAGTAAATGTCTTTCACTCGATATGTTTTCCACTGGCATTGAGATGCGGAATACGTTTCCAAAGAACCGCGCAGCAAGGTACCGAAGAGCTTCGTTTTCTTCCTCTGTGAGTTCAAATAAACAGGCAGCAACTTTCCAAGGAAGTTGGTTTTCAAGTAGCAACAAGTCATCTCTAATTGTCGACAACATCCATGGCGTTTTTAAAATTGGATCGTGGTGCCGGTACCCCAAATTGTGTCTGCGGAAAAGTTCAATAATAAAGCAACCATCAACCACCATCATTTCTACAAATCTATCACTGCTCAGATTATCAAACTTTTCGTCGTAGCAATCACGACAAAATTGTTCCATACTCCTAATTGTTGCCACGAACGTCTCCAAACGGGTGTTCTGATTTTGTTTCCGTTCAATGTGGCCATGCAAGTACCACAGCTTCATTTCTTCCATGGCCTGCAACTTCTTTTCTCCATGATGATACGGCCCAATTGAAACCAAACTTGGGACGAAATCCTCTTCGTTGTGCCTAAACAGTTTATGAGGGACTCTATATATGCAAGTTTGATCTGGTAATGGAGATTCCTGCCGAAGTTTTCCTTGTATTGAGGATGCTAATAATTTGTCTTTATTTTTGTTTCCGTTCAACGTTTGCTTGCCCACATTATCTGCTTTTTCCTTGTGATCGTCTCTATTTTCCATCACAGAGTGATCTTTTGCATTGCTATCTGTCATCGTAAACTCCTTTTAAAGTCCAAATTTGACTAACTCTGCTGTTATTCAAACGAAAAAGAAATGCAAATAGTTACATATAGGTTTAAAAAATGTCAATAAATTCAAGTACGACCAAAATGGGAACCATACAGAAACTTTCAAGTGAATAATACCTCTTAATCTAATTTATCTGCTTTCTCCACCACCTAATACTTTGAACCATGAGATTCTTAAAAGTTTAGGACCCGTTTGATAACCATTTCAATTTTAGTTTTTAGTTTCATTATTTCATTTTTTGTGTGCTAGAGTATTGAGGAAAATGAGAGTGGAGAGGATGAGGAGAGAGGTTGAGATGGAGGAGTAACAAAAGTGAAAACAAAAACTTGAAATTGAACAATTTCAAATAGATTTCAGTTTGTAATTTTAGTTTTCACTTTTGTTACTCTTCCCTCGCATCCTCCCCCCTCTCATCTTTCCTCTAAATCTCATCTTCACTTTCATTCTCTCTAGCATCGGTTTTGACGTATATTAGTTTTCACTTTTGTTACTCTTCCCTCTCATCCTCCCCCCTCTCATCTTTCCTCTAAATCTCATCTTCACTTTCATTCTCGCTAGCATCGGTTTTGACATATAAAAATAAGGCTTAATTACACCAATGCCTCTTGAAGCTACGGTCAAATCTCACTTTGCCTCCCCAAGCTTAAAATGGCCCACTTTCCCCTTTGACCAAGGTTTGGTGACCCACTTTGCTCCATGTCATCAACTTCATCCAAAACTCTGTTAAATCTGATGACGTGGCATGGGGTGTTTGAGTAATTTTAAACACGTGGGTTATTTTATGTTAATGTGACTCCATGTAAACTAATCAAACAAATTCATAAAATAAAATAAAATAAAAACAACAATAAAAATTCAAAAAGCCAAAAGAAAAAAAAACAAAAATTTTAAAAATTAAGTTATTAGTAAGAAAAAAAATTTGGCATCACAGGCCACATCCTTTTCCCCACAGCCCCGACCTTCCTCCCTACAGCCACCATCTCCCCTAATCTTTCCCACGCTGCCCACGTCACCCTGAAGATGAACTTCATCCACCTGCAACCCGCCCATGGTAGACCACACCCTAGCACGCACCAATATGCCACACTTCCCCCTACAAACCTTGCAACCACCATCCCCTCACTAGACCCAATCATTCACAGCCCATACCCCAACACACAACCAATTCGCCACACAACAAATGTATCAAAACCCATGAATACCCAGAAGCCAAAATAAAAAAACCTCATATGTATGCTATCTATTAGCAGTTGTCATCTTGGGAAGTTGTCATCTTGTGTGTGGAACACAAAGTCCTTATTTTATGGTTACCTTGTTTTAGGGAACTTTGTTTTCTTGCGAATACCCAGAAGCCAAAATAAAAAAACCTCATATGTATGCTATCTATTAGCAGTTGTCATCTTGGGAAGTTGTCATCTTGTCTGTGAAACACAAAGTCCTTAGTTTATGGCCTTGTTTTAGGGAAACTTTGTTTTCTTGTCTTAGGGAAACTTTGTTTTCTTGTCTTCTTGACTTCCTGGCTTGTAGTTATAAATGTGTTGTAAGTAATACAAAGTGAAACAAGTTGAAATCAGAAAATATGTTGCAGCTCCAATTCTCTCTACATTCTCCACTCTCTCTACTTAATCTTCTCTATGTTTGACATGGTATCAGAGCAGCAATCTTGCTGACTCTAGTCTCGAATTGTTGCTGCTATCATGGGAGAAAACGATTTCTTTTCCACTGAAAGTAGCACCACCGATCCGGCTACTCCTTCTCAACCTACCTTCATAGAATTTGCTGCTCAAATGGCTGAGTTGATGAAGGCACAAGCATCGACATCAACTACGACCCCGACTCCGACAATTACCTATGAAACCTCTTCTGCACAAATTGGCATTAAATTGGATGGCTCCAACTATGCCTTGTGGTCTCAAGTTATTGAGATGTATGTTGCTGGCAAAGACAAGCTGGGATATCTCACTGGTGAACTCCCAGCACCTTCTCAGTCAAACTCGACATTCAACCGATGGGTAACAGAGAATGCAATTGTGAAAGGGTGGCTAATCAACTTCATGGAGCCAAGATTAATTGGCAATTTCATTCGATTTCCGACGGCCAAGGGAGTTTGGGATGCAATAGCCACAACTTACTTTGATGGCACGGACACCTCTCAGGTGTATGATCTTAAAAGGCGAATCTCCCGTATGCGACAAGGGGGAGGCTCGATTGAAACTTACTACAACGATCTCCAAGGCTTATGGCGAGAGATCGATTTTCGTCGTCCAAATGAGATGAAGTGCGAGTTGGATATCAAGAAATACTATGATATCATCCAAGAAGATCGAGTTTATATTTTCTTGGATGGCTTGGACGATCGATTGGACAAAGCTAGAAGTGATGTGCTCCAAATGAGTCCTTTTCCTACAGTAGAGCAAGCTTATGCTCACGTTCGAAGAGAAGATATCCGACAAGCTGTGATGTTAGGAGCTCCAACACCAACCGGAGTAGGACTGGCAACAAAAGGAACATACCGACCCTCTCGCCCAATTCCAAAGTCCACTTCCCCAGTTGCTGCTCCCCTCCAGCTGCAGACAGTTGCCAACAAAACTACTTCCCCTACTCGACCTAAGGCTCCTACAGATGGGAATGGTTGCACTCACTGCGGGAATCCAAAGCACACTCGAGAAACCTGTTTTAAATTGCATGGCTATCTAGATTGGTGGGAAGGTCTCAAGGCTCGCAAACTTGCTGGAGGAATGGGTTGTGCTGCCCTTGTCACCACGGATCCTTCGCTAACGTTAATTCCTCAAGAATAGTCTACCCCAGCACCAGAAAATGAGTCTTCAACTTTCAATGACTTAGGTAACTGTGGATATGTATTTCATACATCATATACAAGTGACTCCACAGGTTGGATTATTGATTCAGGAGCCACAAATCATATGACGTTTGATCCAATCGATTTTCTGAGTACAACCACACCACAACGAACGAGTATTGCCAACGCAAATGGTGTTACCTCTCCTGTGATGGGTGCTGGAACCATTGGCCTCTCTCCATCTCTTTCGCTTGAAAATACTTTGCTTGTTCCATCATTATCTAATAAATTGATGTCTGTTGGACAAGCTACTGAGCAAATGAATTGTTGTGTACTCATGTATCCCAACTTCTGTTTATTTCAGGATATTCTCATCAAGGAGATCATTGGTCGTGGTACTAAAAGAGGGGGGTTGTACTATGTGGATGATTTCAGTATGGGAAAAGCAAATAGTGTGAAGCACTCGACTACTTGGAAAGATCAACAACTTTGGCTATGGCACCGGCGTTTGGGGCATCCGTCTTTTGGTTATATGAGACATCTATTTCCAGATTTGTTTTCAAGCACTTCTACCACTGATTTCCAATGTGATACTTATATCTTAGCCAAGAGCCACAGAGTCTCTTATCCATTAACTACGAATAAAAGTGTTACTCCATTTGCTTTGATACATTCTGATGTTTGGGGTCCTTCGCCTATCTCTACAATTTCTGGTTTCCGGTGGTTTGTCACCTTTGTCGATGATTGTACCTGCATGACTTGGCTCTTCCTAATGAAAAATAAAACTGAAGTGTTTCCCATATTCAAGTCATTTCACAAGCAAATTGAAACTCAATTCTCTACCAAGATTCAAATTCTTCGTTCTAACAATGGGGGTGAATATATCAATCATGACTTTCAGGCTTACTTCCAAATGCATGGCATGATCCATGAGACCACTTGTCCTCAAACTCCTCAACAGAATGGTGTTGCGAAATGGAAAAATTGACATCTCCTTGAAACAACACAAGCCCTTCTAATTGGAGCCCATGTTCCTCGCCACCATTGGGATGATGCTATAGTCACGGCAGTCTACCTCATCAACCGAATGCCTTCCAAGGTTTTAGACTTCCGGACTCCATTACAGGCACTTGCCCAACATGGCCCCTTGCCCTCCGTTTAGATGCTTCCGCATCAAGTCTTTGGTTGTGTGGCATTTGTCCACCTCCATAAGAATCAACGTGGTAAACTGGATCCATGTTTCTCAGATGTGATTTGTTAGGCTATGCTGCCCATCAGAAGGGATATCGATGCCATCACCCCTCAAGCCATCGTATGTATGTCACCGTGGATGTCACTTTTATGGAGTCTGAGATGTTCTTCCATGGTCCAATGTCCACCTCACCTTCTCAAAGGGACATCCAAAGAGAAACAATGAGAAAATATACTATGGAAATTCAAGAACTTGAAGATTGGAGCACAATGAGCCCAAGAGACGAAGGCACAAATGTAATCTGCCAGCCAGTGATCAGTCGCTTTGAAGAACTGAAGACGAAATTAGAATCTGCCTGGAAACGACCGATCGCCAGGAACCCAGTGACTGGTCGCTTCGAAGAACTGAAGATGAAATTCGAACCTGCCAAAAAGCGACCGGTCGCTAGGAAGAGCTGATGACCAAAATCGAATCTGCCTGGAAACGACCGGTGGCCAGGAAGCCAGTGACCGGTCGCTGCAAAGCAGACTGCCCGGAATTTTTTCTAATTTTATCAACGATGATGATGAAGACCCCCCTCACATCTCAGTACCCACTAATCAATCTCCTGAGAATAATCCTGAGGTAAGTGCTTCTACTACACCTACAGCTTTAGTTGATGAAACTATTAGATATCACTTACCTGTTAGACAGAACCGTGGAAAACCTCCAAATAGTTATTCACCAGACAATGGCAAAACATCAAAGTATCCTATCGCAAACTACGTTTCTACTGGCAAATTATCCGAACCACTCAAAGGCTTCGCACATCAGTTATCAGCAATTCACATTCCAACCAAAGTGAGTGAAGCATTGAAGGATCCAAAATGGGTTCAAGCGATGAAGGAGGAGATGCAAGCTTTGGACAAAAATCAGACGTGGACACTGGAGAACTTGCCTAAAGGAAAGAGGACTGTCGGATGCAGATGGGTG